TGCCCTTGATCAAGCCCTACCAGGCCTCCTACACCCTCCTCGCCATTGATTTTGGATCACTTGTTGTTCCCTTCTTCCTAGGTTTGTTAACCCTCACTTCTTTTCCCTCTCTACCCTGTACCCCTGGAACCGTCAGTTCCTTTATTTTCTCCAGATTATTTATCCCACCTATCTTATCTAGGTAGACCTGCAGAAATAATAATATGCACACAAAAAACAAGACAGAGCAGAACAAAGCAATAAAACAAACAACAGCAACAAAATCCAAGGACTCACAAGAAAAGAAAAGCCTATAAATAGTTCCAGGTCTGTTTGTTTACCTTTAGGATTATTTTCTGGTCGAGTCTGATGGGGTGCCACACCCTGACCCCAAACTCTATTTTTTGTATTCCCTGGGGACTTCATTGCTCTGTTTCCCTTGCTGTTCTGTTGCATACCCTTAGTTTTTTGCCTCGGTGTGGTGGGATCAGATCAGGCACAATTCCCGCACAGTGTCTCCCGTGTTGTCCCCTGTAGGGCAATGGGTCAGTGAGGGACATTGTGTCTTGTAGTGGGGCCAGCCCTATGGTCCTCTCTGTGCTTTGGCTGCTCTGAGCAGAAACAGTGTCCTCAGGGCTTGGTGGGCGAGGATGTGTTCCACTCTCTCTTCCTCTCCTTTCATTTGCTCCTGTGTGCTCTGATCAGACATGTCCATCTCCCTGAGCTGTAGCTTCAGTGCTTTCCTCTGAAGTGAATTCTTCTGCGGGAGAGAGATGGCTGTCCACGTAGTTGGGATTGGGACCGGCCCCTCAGGCCTTTCTATTTGTTCCCTGCTTCATGTTGACATGTTGCATTCACCAGGTTGAAGTCTGGTCCCGCTTTCCCTGTGGAGGTATAAACAATAACCTCCCCTCAGCAGATTCATGTTGTACTTGTCCTTTTGTGCTTGGCTTACTTGCTTAGCATAATTTCCTCCATTTCTTCCCATGCGGCAATGTGCTTCATGTGTTCATCACTTTCAGTTTGTTTTTTTTTAATCATTTTATTAGGGACACATACAACTATTATCACAATCCTTACATACATCAATTGTGTAAAGCACATTTGTACATTCATTGCCCTCATCATTCTCAAAACATTTGCTCTCCACTTAAGCCCCCCTGGCTTCAACTCCT